CACACACACACACACACACACACACACACACAGCAAGATGCTACCACTTTCATGCTTGATAGTTATTAGAGTTGTTAGGTTTGAAAGCCTCCACACGAACGTTTTGTTATTGTGACCACAATTTCTTCCCATAAGGCATTTGTCTCGTCCAAGTAGGCAGCTGCAAATTTCAGTTGGGCTTGAAGGTGTCACTTTTAGAAGAGGGGCTTCTTTCTTGGTCAGCGCCCACTCCTTGTGGGCAATGAGTCAGCCTGGCATTGTGCCAGGTAGAAGGAATGATGAGCGGAGAAAGGAGGGACCTCATCTTAAATGGAAAGCAAAGAATTTGCTGGTAGGAGGAGATGTCACTTTAAATCAACGTGATATAGGCTGGTAAAAGTCACCCAAATCCAATTTTTTTTCTCCCTTTGCCAAATGCTGTACCCAGATCATAGTTTTGTCTTCATCAGTCTGAGCATGAAAAACCTGCATTTTTTTTTTTTTGTTTATTTGCTTTTTGTTAAGTTGATTTTCTTTCCTAATCTGACCCAGGTCTTTTTCATATGAGCTACTAAAATTCAAATATATCTGATGTTTTATAAAGCAACTGCAATCTGAACCATCAAAAGAAGAAAAAGGCTAAATTAATTACTTAGTACTTTAAAAAAAAGGATTTAAAAAGCCAGCACAGTTCTGGAAGAACTTTCTTTGGACAGGTGAAACCCACCTCTACCAGAATGATGGAAAGAAAAGTGTGTGGTGAAGGCGTGGTACAGCTCATGATCCAAAGCACCACATCATCTGTAAAACACAGCAGAGCAGTGTGATGGCTTGGACATGCATGGCTGCCAGTAGCACTGGGTCACTAGTGTTTATTGATGATGTGACACAGGACAGACATACTGTGTGCTCAAATGCAGCCAAACTGATGGACTCAAAACATAAAGCCAAAGCAACCCAGGAGTTTATTAAAGTAAAAACGTGGAATACTTTTGAATGACTAAGTCAGTCATCTGATCTCAACCCAATTGAGCATTTCACTTGTTAAAGACTAAACTTCAGACAGAAACAAACAGCAACTGAAAACTGCTGCAGTGAAGGCCTGGCAGAGCATTAAGAAGGAGGAAACCGTGTCTGGTGATGTCCATTAGTTCAAGACTTCAGGCAGTCATTGCCAACAAACTGTTTTCAACCAAGTACTAGAAATGAACATTTTATTTACAATTATTTAATTTGTCTAATTACTTTAGAGTCCCTGAAATGAAGGGATTGTGTTTAAAAGATGCTTTAGTTGCTCACATTTATATAAAATCATTTAGTTCAACCCACTGAATTAAAGCTGAGAGTCTGAACTTCAACTGTATCTGACATGTTTTCTTTGTTTTGATGAAGCTTTAATAAAATGGCATATCTTTTAAAATATGGGCAAAATGCAAAAAATAAATAAAACCCTGATGTGGACAAAACATGGCACAAAAATGATAATGTTAAAAAATACAATAAACACATGTGTATCTGCCTTTGAAAACCTTCTTTGACCCAAATAATAACAAAAAGGTTTCCCAGTTAATTCATTCACTGTTGTTTATGGCACTTATGTTTTCTGTATTAGTCTGTGGACTTGATACCAACCTGTGCAGTTGCTAAGTCTGCTAAATTTGGAGGCTAACATGTAAAATACAAAAGGGAAATATGAACCCATGTGTTCAGTCCCTTGACCTCATTGTGTTTTTGGTTTTTTTTTTTTAGGGTTTTTTTGATATTCCTGTTGACAACTTGTACGCAGAGCCAGCTGTGCTGAAGTGGATCAAAGAGAACATCCCAGAATGGAAAAACTGTATCATTGTGTCACCTGATGCAGGAGGAGCCAAGAGGTAAAATTGTTGTGTTTACCCTCAGCCTCCTCATATCACTTCTGACATGGACTAAAGATCGAGCCTCTTATCTTTTCCAGCAGGTATCCAGTTTGACACGAGTAAGTTGTTGGGGCATCTGTAACTTGTAGACTTTTTACTCTCTGTTCTGCAGGGTCACCTCAATCGCAGACAGGTTGAATGTGGATTTTGCTCTCATTCACAAGGAAAGGAAAAAGGCAAACGAGGTGGACCGCATGGTCCTCGTGGGAGATGTGACGGATCGGGTTGCAATTCTAGTGGACGATATGGCTGACACATGCGGGACAATCTGCCACGCTGCTGACAAGTGAGCTCTTTAATTACTCGTCCAACTTCACAGCCTGATCAGAGTCACGGGACAGTTGGTCTACTTTTACTGCAGTGCTGCCCAAAGTCTTAAGATCATGTATTATAACCCATTTTGCACAGTGAGGCAATTTCTTTTTAATTTATGCAGGGTTCCTGCAGATCCTTAAAAAGTTTTAAATCAATCTTTTCAGAAGTCTTAAAAATGTGAACACATTGTAAATAGGATGACTGTAATTCATTTCAAATATTAAAATAATTGGTAGAAATTATTTTTTAGATATTCACAGGCAGACATTCCCCTTTGACATCACTTCCTGTTATTTCACATGCAAATATCTCAACAACTGTCCATCTGAGCAACTTGAAATTCATGTTATAATATGTTAATAATGTCTTTCCAAAAATACATTCACTTTACTTACAAAAAGTTGATGTCACGGGCACTTTAGGGTTTCATCTACAGCAAATTGGGGTTAAGATCACACCGGTGGTCCTAAAACTCCAAATTTTGGGTCGTTAGAGAATTTTCTAGAAATTAAATGAAGTTTAAAACTGACTGCTAAGAATGTTTCTGCTATAGTTAGATATGGTTAAAAACAATTGGTCTATTAGCAATATTTTAATACTTCAACCAAAAATTATTTTTTTTGGGGGGGGGGGGGGAGGTTCTGCCACAGTTTTTATTTTTTTATGTCATTTGTGTTAATTATGAAATTGGTCTTAAATTTAACTTCACTAGGCATTAAAAAGTCTTAAAAGGTCTTAAATTTAACTTGCCTTAAACTGTAGGAACCCTGTTATGAATAGATGTTGAGTATTGTCACAGTAATGAGAAAATTTATATTTAAAATAATTACTTTAAAAAGGGGGTTGTAGTTTATTTTATTGCAACTTGTAATTTTATTTCTTATAAACTAAAGGCGGGTCCTGGCAGCAAAAGTTTGGGAACCACAGGCTTACTATAAACGTGTTTTTTCTCGCCCTTTAGATTAATCTCTGCTGGTGCCACCAAAGTATATGCCATATTGACACATGGCATCTTTTCTGGCCCTGCCATTTCACGCATCAACAACGCGTGCTTTGAAGCTGTGGTGGTCACCAACACAATCCCTCAGGAGGAGAAGATGAAACACTGTTCGAAAATACAGGTACGATTTGTGTTTTAGAAACACAAATGTCATGACATTTTCTCCCAGAAGCTGGCATTTTATTGTCTCGTCTTCCTTCAGGTTATAGACATCTCCATGATCCTTGCAGAGGCCATCCGCAGAACTCACAACGGGGAATCTGTTTCTTATCTGTTTAGCCACGTTCCTCTGTAACACCACCATGTGTTGTCGACTCCGGGAAAAAAAAGAAGAAGAGGACATTCCCCTAAACTTTACCATCAGCAAAGATGTTCTACTAATATATGATGGCAAATATAGAAAAAAATGCCATGTTTGTTACTAACACTGCCCCCATTTTCACTCAAGTCCCTCCCCAAAGAGGTCTTTTCTTTATGTTTTTGGCGCCAAAGCAAGTGAGCTAATACTTACAGACTGGCATATTTATTGTGTATGAATTAATATGTACCCACAGTGAATTTTGTCTTTGTTTTAATGAAGTTTAACTCGCAGCGTTTCTCCTGATCGTTTGTAGTTTCTCCTCAAAAGTCATTTTTATCTGTTGTCAAGGAGTTGATTCGTTGCAGGTGTCAATGCTCAGGAGATGTACTCAATGTGTAAAATTGTTACATGGCTTTTTGTTACAATGATTGTGTGTAGTTTTTGTTTGTTTTTTAAGTTGCTCTGCTATCTTCTGCTGTTAAAGATTACAGTTAATAGACTGAATGTGTATTTATCTAGTTTACGGTGCCACTGAAGCTCCACTCAAACACGACGAGTGCCTCAAAAGTCTGAAATTAAAGTAAGTTTTCCTCGTTTCCCCCACCACACACCCGACATCCCTTGATTTGAAATAACTTGTTTCTTATTTCAGACTGTAAACGATGTATATTTCATTGAATGTTTTCTTTCAACTCTTGAGGTGCCCCCATTGAGTGGGATGTGCTCAGTGTCTGAAGAAAAAAAAAGTTTCCTTTCAGAGTCTAAAATGAAAAGATGTCTGTGGAGAAGCTGTTTTTAAAAGCATGAGGTCTCTGCAGGCTGGAGCTTCCTTCACGAATGTTCACCTGCTATTCTCGTCTTACTTTAATGTCCAAGTTTTTTTTTGTTTTGTTTTGTTTTGTTTTTTCGTTTCTTTTACGGTAGAATCGAATGCACCAGTTGTTCGAAGACGCATTCTTAATAAATTTAAAAATGTGTCAAATTTAAACGTCTGTTTTCTGGTTTTTGGGCAGACTTCAAACTGTTCTTGCATGTCTAATAAGATTTCTAATTTACATTCAGCACCACAAACGTCATCTTTGCTTTGAGGATGCTGATGGAGAAGTACAGAGAGAGAGAGTCAGAACTTCATTGGGTCTGGATTTAGAAAAAAACCTATAGTAGGTGCTGAGGGAGTAGCCCTGGTGTATGAGGACATCTCGAGTGGTTTGTGCAGAGAGGTGGTAGGCATATTAGTAAAAGGATGTTAAAGATGCAGCTGCCAAGAAAAAGAGGAGATATATGGATGCAGCTAGAGAGAACATGAAGGTAGGTGGAGTGAGAGGAGGATGACTCACTGTGGGGACCACTGAAGGAACAACCAAAATAATTTCATTTATCCTGGTAAAAAGTTATTTTAGTATGATTTATTTTGGTCAAATCAAATGTTTGTTTACATTGCACCGACTCAAACAGGAGTGGCTTCACGCATGCGCGATTCTTCCGCCTGTGAGCGCTTTGTGACGGGGCGTGGCCCACAGCGCCACCCGCTGATGCTAAGAAGTTAGCAATAGCACCAAAATGAACGTCGCTAGACATTTCGATAGTGGCTTTATCGAAAATCTGTTGCTAGAGAGGTCTGAAAGCTCGCTAAATGGAGCAGCAACATCGCTAGCTAAATTGGCCATGCTTAGAAACATGACTGACAGACGTATTTGTCATCCAACCCAAACTGACGTGACGTCATCCATCGTGGCTAATGGTTGTTGAGCAGGAGGCGGGTCAAATCCAAACACCGGCAGATGATGAAGGCATCATCAGATGCTGTGGTGCATCACTTTTTGTTGCTATGTTTAATCATCCGTTAAGAAAATTAGCCGCCTCAGTGTGCCGTACAGGAAATAAATTAGAAGCCTGCCTTTCTTCAAATTCATGATTAAAAAGGGGAATATTTGATTTTTGCACGATCAGATATCCTGTTCTTTTTTCTTTTTTTATAAAACAAAAGAGCAGGTGAGTAAATTTATTATTTTGTAATAGCCGATGTTAAGCTATAATACTTCTCAACTTTTAGATTTTATAAATAGTCCTGCAGATACTGATTAAATTGAATATTTTTGTGAATATGTTTAGCCTCATGTTCTAGAATGGTTTGTTTTTCAGCTAACAGCTTGTGGTTAGCTGAACTGAACTTCCTTCCTGTGGCAATGGTTCTTATTCTATAAATGGTTCTTATTCTTATAAATGGTTCTTATTCTTATAAATGGTTCTTATTCTTATAAATGGTTCTTATTCTTGTAAATGGTTCTTATTCTTGTAAATGGTTCTTATTCTATAAATGGTTCTTATTCTTATAAATGGTTCTTATTCTTATAAATGGTTCTTATTCTTGTAAATGGTTCTTATTCTTGTAAATGGTTCTTATTCTATAAATGGTTCTTATTCTTATAAATGGTTCTTATTCTTGTAAATGGTTCTTATTCTTATAATGCTGCAGAGACTGACTGATAATCTTATCTGTTTTCTTACCTTAATGTTTCAGATTAATAATTCAGTTGCTTTAATGAAGGAATGTGAATTTAATGTTTTTTTTTTTTTGTCATGGTAGATTTTGTTAAATTTGTCTATTTTAAATCAGTGACAGGATTAGTTTAATTTTGAGGTATAATCAATGAATTTTCATAGTTTCCTTGAGTTATTACACAATATTCACAAGCTGATAATTTGTTTCATTATTTTCAATGAGGTTTTTGAACTTTGTGATCTTCATGTTATAATTTTTACTTTCACTTTTACACCAGCTCAACAAATGGCAGGAAGTCCCGACCCTGACGGAGGGGATGAAGCCCTCGGGGAGACGATGATTCGATTCCAGAGCTACTTACATGGAGGAACCTCCAGCTTGCTGTCCGCCTTCCCCACCGTCGTCGTCTTCCCTGTCTACAAAACCGTCTTCCGTCAACAAATCCACAACACGCCGGTTCGCCAGGCGGTGGGGCAGCTCTGCAGGGAGGGGCCTTTGAAGCTCTACAGGGGCGTGGCTCCGCCGCTGCTGATGAGGACCCTGAACGGCACGCTGCTCTTTGGCCTCCAGGATACTCTCCTCCGTTGGCTCGCCCTGTCGTCCCACAGCGTCCTCCCCGCGGCCGCTCTGCCCGCTCTGGCCGGGTTTGGAGCTGGTTTCGTGGAGGCTTTAGTTTTCACGCCCTTCGAGCGGGTCCAGAACGTGCTGCAGAACGGCCAGAACGACCGCCGCCTGCCCTCCTTGCGGAGCGTTCTCGTGAGCCTGAAGGCGCAGAGGATGAGCCACGGCTACTACAGGGCGTTCCTCCCTGTCGCAGCTCGTAACACCCTGGGCAGCTCCCTCTACTTTGGCCTGAAGGGTCCTGTGTGTGTCGCGGTGACGGGACAGGGGCTCTCCCCCATGGCCTCCTCCTTCGTCTCGGGAACCCTGACCTCGATGGCGGTCAGCTTGGCTCTGTACCCGCTGTCCGTGCTGGTGGCCAACATGCAGGCGCAGGTGGGAGGGGAGGGGAACGGCGCCGCGGCGTGCTGGAGAGCGCTGTGGAGGTCTCGGCATGGCAGCGTGGCTCTTTTGTACCGAGGAGGTTCCCTCATCGTTCTGAGATCGTGCGTCACGTGGGGGATCACCACTGCCATTTATGATAGGCAGGAGAAGCGATCCTGTTGAAGAGTGTAACAGTGTAATCTGTTTTATTCGTTATATTAGCCATACAACTCTTTCACTTCACAAACATGAGGATTTTGCTCCCAAACATATCCTTATTTGTGCAAGTACTGGATCTAACATTTAAACCTTTCTTACAACAAACACAGTGACATATAGCAGGAAAATCTCAGGTGCTACTGTTGAAGTGTATCTCAGAGCCTTGACTGTATTACAGTGAGCCAATATAAACATCCATCCATCTACTGATCCATTTCCTTTACCTGCTTCTCCTCCTGGTCACAAGGTGGTGCCCATCTTCAGCAGTATGAGGTGTGGGGTCCAACATGAACAATGTAGTTAAATGAAATGTTTTTTATTACTGCCACATATGAGATGTTTTTAGTTCGATTGACTGGTTTAAACCAACAAACGTCCTATTCTCTGCCCACATGTAAACGCCACGGCCGACTTTGAGGTGCCCTGCATCATAGGTGCCTTCCTTCTATTTTGTCTTGTTAAAAAAATATATTTTTGGTGGAGGGCAGTGGAAGCAGGGGCCAAACTAGACTATTTTGCAAGGCAGGGGTGGCCGTGGTGGAGTTTCATTTTTTAAAAGATTTTAAATTTTAAAATTAAATTTTAAGGTTTTAAATTTAAGATGGCCACCTCAGCTATTTCCACGACTAATTCAGCTTCAAGAAATATTGAGCTGAAATTGTGTGTGATAGTAGCTAATAATGATCCAAAACACACGCTGAATGCTAGTCACAACCTATCATTCTGTCGTTTTCAAACATTCAAAGCTGAAGATTTCTGTAGCAATCTTTATCAAATTCTAAATTCTAATAAAACAATCAAGATGGCCACCAAAGCTAACTTTAAAAGGCTATAAGTCAGCTATTTTAAGACTTACTGAGATGAAATTTGTTGCGGCGTAGCTAAGAATGATCACTTGCCGATTGCCAATCCCAAATTAAAGGCACAGTGTGTAGGATTTTGTCAATTCTTTTAGCCGAAATTGAGATAATCACTAATGACAATAATAAAAAACATGTCTAATCATTGCAGACAAAGACCTTGTTTTATTATGTTTACCTTATAAAAAGCTGTTTATATCTTCATGGTCGTGGGTCGCCAATACAGGCAGCCGCCATCTTGTCTACGAAGGCTCATGAAGGACAAACTGCGGTGGCGGCGTCAAAAATGGTTTTAGTTGTAATACTATAAATGTAATATTTGTTGTCTGTCATTGTAGCTGGGATAATTTTACTTATTAAAGCTCATAATCTTACCACTTGAAACATCACTAGCCCTGAAGCTGCTGGTAGACATYRYGGTTGGAATTATCAAAGGTTTTTGACACCTGAGAGACACCGTAGCAACTCCTTTGTGTTTGGAAGCTGGGGTAGGGGTGGGGGAGGACCAGGGAGGATGATTCAACCACTCAACCACTAGATGTCGCTGAAAACAACAAATCCTACACACAATGCCTTTAAGCTAGCCGCTAATTCTAACTTTACCAAGGGCTATAATTCCATCATTTTTAAACATTCCCAGCTAAAAATATAAGTAGTAAAGCAGTATCTGAAAACAGYCTTTAACGTAGGCTACTCTTAATTGCAAATACAAAATTCAAGATCCCCACCCACTTGTCAATTACTTGGGKTGACCAATTAGATGAAATGCCAACTCTGCCCCCAAGATGACTACCTTTTTGTGTTGACTTGTGTCAACTCTGTGGTGGCCATCTTGAATCTATAGTGAATCATGAGGTATTTATGCTAACAGCAGTCAGACTAATACAGTATAACAGGTAGTAGCAAAGATTTATAAACATGTCTGATGCCATAAGTTAGCATTAAGGGTTGTGAATGACTCTCAGCTACTACCACACTAAAWTTTATCCCATCTATAAAACTAGCTGCTTTTGTTAAAAAAGATTGATTCACTTTGTACGCAAATACTGTATCACACGTCAGTGTGTGAAAAAGCTTGAAGCATGTTCCATGAGTATAAATGAAGTTGATCTTTTTTCACCTGTTTGACATCATAAAAACTTGTGTAATTTCAGTGCCTCCTGCCAGATTTAAACTCTGTAGTTCTGAAGTACTTGAAATCAACAGTTGATGAAAGACTTTAGCAGGATGTCAGCTATAGAGGGCGTTGATATGCAAGATGTGAGACTTTTGGTCTGCTGCACTATCTGCAGAATTTTTTTATTATAGTTTATTTTTGTCAAGATTGTAAATCAAATTAACAGTGTTCGTTGTTTTTTTTTATATCTATATCTGGAACTTTGAATGTTTTTGTTGGTGCAGTTTTCAGCTGATTTTGTATCACACACTCAATAAACTTTTTTTTTTATCATTTTAAATATAATTTATAGTTTTATTTTGTGTTAAACTGCACTGAGACATTTGTTGGTACATGCATGAATTAACTTTCTTGTGCCAATGGATATTTTTCTTGATGTAGGAAGGTGGAACGTACACACAGTGTTGCCTCACAGTAATTTCAGGGAAAAAAATGCACTGCTTCCCTGAAGCCTTCCTCTCTCTCCCTCTGTGTGTGTGTGTGTGTG